TGATGTATTTTAATTTGGAGTCAAATTAAAAACCAAAAGCTCAGTTTGAGGATTGATGAAGGATGGGCATTCCTGACTGTACATTAATTTGGCCACACTAAAACAATCAGTCATGTGTTTAACTTAAACATAAGGGACAATCATAGAAAGCCAATCCAACTACAAAACCATAAAACGACTATATTAAATGAAAAACCTGATCCGTAAAATATTGCCCAGGAACCTCCACATCAACAACATGGAAGTCCCGTAATACCCTGCTCTCATCCTCCAACTTCAAAACAGCTGGAAACCGATCCTCGACATTGCTCTGGAGAATATTCTTCCAGTGCTTCAACCTTGCAGTTAGATCTGCAAGGGTAGCTGGAAAAGTTGCATTGCTTTCTGGATCAAGGTCGCGCTCAAATTCCTGCTTGTACTCCCGAACAAATTCAACATGCTTGTTCACGGCATCTGCCGAGAAGCAAGCTCTGCAAACCCCCGAGAGCTCTTTCTTGAGAGACTGGGGAACTTCCGCTGTAGTTGCTGTTGGGTACTTATAACAGCGATGAAGCAGGGCATTTACTACAGCAAGCAATCTCTCCTCAGGCAAAGTGACAAATCTCGAGCCAATTTCTGTGAGAAGAATCTTCAAGGAAAAAAAAAAAGTAATATTACAAATTCAATTCAAGCATAGGCAAAGTCTTCAGATCAATTCATAATGATACACGAGGCAACTGGAATCCTGGCATTTTTAGACAAATTGACAAAGAAAATAATAAGAAATATATCATTTACTCCATCCCACAATTATATAAACTATGTTTACCATTTCAGGTGTCCCATCTCATTGCTAAATTTGGTATGTACTTAACTTTTCATTTCCATGTATGCCCCAAATTGATTATCTTAGGATCACACTAGTATATTTGTTTAGATTAGCTTTACAGAAACATGCTGACAATGAACAAACAACTAACACAGTACTTATTCCATGTGAAATACTAATGGCATATGTTTATGACATTGATAGCTACCGATTGCTTATATACAACTATAAAACGAAATAAAATACAAAGCATGAACTTTGTAACAGCAAGGCAAGACGGCCTAAGCTACCAAACAAATAAAGTACCTCAAGTTCACTAGCCAGATTAGTGTGTTTGCTCCTAAGAGTTTCCATTATGTCTTTTGCGGCTTCAAAAGCACTGGCAGCTGAGACTACCATTCCCATGTCACTGTTTCGGCGCATTGCATTCTGACCTCCCTCATTGTTTGATGAACTTTGATGCAATTGTTGGTCACTTCCAGAAGGCATGCTACTTTCAGCAGCACCCGGCCTTTCAGTTTCCTGCCCCTGAGAGACACTTCCATCGTGGGACCCAAGACCTCCGGCAGATTGAGTACCGTGATGAAGCTGATTTTCCGAGACCAATGTGGACCCACCCTGACTAGTCCCCCGCGCACTTCCATCGGTCAAGCCCATAGGGACAGCTGTCCCAGAACCAGAGACATTTTGCTGCATCCTTTGCTGGGCCATTGCCATTCTACCAAATTCGGACTTATTCGCAACATCACGCCGTTCTAGAAGATACGTGCGAAGCCAGTAATACAATGCCTGAGATATATGAGATGGTATTAGCACAGAGAATATTTAGAGCTTGATTGTTTATGAATTATTTTACTCACATTTTTTTCATACTCAAAATCTAACTCAACTTTAACTCAACCCCACTATCTTTAATATTTTTCATATAATTAAATAATACAAACCAATGATTCTTACACATCACATCAACTTTAATTCACTATTCATCCACTCATATAATTTTAACTACCTATCATTTCCAATCATTTATCTCCTACTTTTACATCAAATCAATATTAATCATTTTATTTTAAAGATCATTTTAATACATTCTTAAAATTCCACTAACTAACCACACTACCTTTTTTCAAAATTAACTATGGTTAACCAAAATAACTCATTTGAACAAATTATTTCATAAACAATCAAGCCCTTAGTATCTGATAATGGATTAATTACGTACTAAGTGACATCTACCTGAGGATATACTGTTGCAACTTTAAGCAAAACGAGTTTGCAATGAGGAGCTTCAGTCCTTTGTAGGGATAACAGTAGCTGGGGGATCCAAGACAGCCAAACCCAGTGAGGTATTTGGTCCAAGTACTTATCAAATGCCCTACCCACAGGTTCATTGGGAGTATCGAAGCTGAGAAGATATAGAACACGGGCTAGGTGGCTTCTCGAGTTTGGAATTCCAAATTTGATGCCCTGAAGGAAGCAGCTTACTGCATATTCTAACCAAACCTCTTCATGAGTTTCCCTGTAGGCCTGTGAGAAAGAACATGATAGGCACTTAACATTATAAAAAACAGAAACTATAGTAGACAAGGATAGGATAGGGACTTGCAGTACTGAAAAACATAATCTATAGGAGACGTGGATAGTGTTCTTACCATGTCACAATAAGTTCCCCAACTGATCCAACCTTTAGGCAAGTTCTTGAAGAGGGTGATCGCATTCGAATACGCAAGGTTGGCGCCTTCACAGTCACTAAGCTTCAGCAGAAAATCACCCTTCAGGCGATAAATCTCAGCCTTGTGCTTAACAGGAAAATACTCCAGATTAGTACTGTTAATCAAATTAAGACCACTGGTCAGCTCCCCCTTCATCTCCAAGTATGCTTTTGCTTGTTCTCTTATTTTGACAAATGCCTCCTACATAATAAAAATTGTTACAAGAATTAAAAACAGCAAGACACATAAAATATTACTCCCTCCATTTAGAAGCAAGTGTCGTTATAGGTTGAAGTTTTTTTGCTTTTTTTTTTTTCTAATTGACTATTCTTCCGATTAACATAATAAATCTTAAAGAATGAAAAGGGAATAATCAAATTATAAGGGATAGAGAAAATAATTATAGCATGGAAAGAAAGTAAATAAGTATAAGGAAAGTAACATACAAGTTATATAGTTTAAGAAGATTTGACTGTAATATTAGGCATGAGATGAATTGTTAAATCTCCAGGTTTTTTTTCTAGAACGACACTAGTTTGTAAACAAAGGGAGTATTTGCACCACCTTTCCCATCGATCTTCCAAAATCCTAGTGCGTACGCACACGCGCGTGCACACACACACACACACACATATAGGCAGAAAGGGTCATAATGGAAAAAAACGGTAAGGATATATAAAGGCGTAGATCCAGCGAACCTGAACTTCCATTGTGGAGTGACCATACATCTTTTCCAGAATAGAAACACAAACGTCATATAAGCCATGCTTACGAGCAATGTGGGCAAGCTTATTGACATTCCATGCCTTGTCTCGGTAACCCAGATGATGCAGCTGTGAATTTGTATTTGCAAAATCCTTGAATGCATCTATAACTGCATTGTACATTTCATTCCTCCACTGTAGCAAATCATACCAAACAGACATGCTATCCCATTCATTCGGTGTTCTCAATCTCCAAGTCTCAAGAATATCCTTGAGATCTGCATATAAGCCACCATGCACACCAACAGAATTACCAGAAAGTTTGCTCCCATTTGCAATATCCACAATAATTCTAGCAGATTCTTGGACTTCGACTAATTGCTGAAATTGCTGCAGAAGAGGTATTCTGGCATGTATGGACATTTCAGGCAATTGCCACCACTGTTCCAAAGCAAGTTCAACACCTTTCCCCACTATGTTTTCAGCCTCCGGGACCCCATTGGTATTCTTCTCATGAAGCGCAAAATATGCCTGAATAATACGAAGTTTTGGAGTTTCTTCTAATTGAGCCTTCGGTATAACTTGATCTTTCAAATACACCCAATCCGGCTGTTTCCAGAGACTATCAAGTAGTATTTCATAATTCTCAACAAGTTTTCCAAATTCAGACAGAGCATCCCATTGACTAAGTTGAGTAGCACAATGGAGCCACTGCTCCTCCCAAAGGCACATCTCTGCTTTTGGTACAGTATTATTGTAAGTGCCCTGGGTTGCTTTCACCATGGCTTGGTAGAAAAGGCTTTGTGCCCTTTGCCAATAACCATGTTGAACAAGTGAAAGACCAGACCTAGTTTCTGCAGTAATTGACCGTTTTATCCACAAACCACACCTCATATCTTCCTCATTGAGCAAACGATACAGCTCAGCCAAAGACTCTGAACACTTTGTGTCATTCAAAAACAACATTACATGACTTTCAAGAAGTCCTAGCGCAATGTGCCACGCATTATAAGTCTTTCCTATGTATTTGATTAGTTCACTGGGCATCCGTGGTTGTGGATGACTTAATTGAAGCCCCTCTAAAAGCGCCTGCACAACATTTGGGCGATGTGCTTGCTGCTTCTTGTGATAATCTTGTGACAAGAGAGCTATCATGGGCTTAGCGAGTGCCACCTGCTCTTCCTTATGCAAGGTCACCCAAACAATGGGAAACACCAAAACCCACAAATGATATGCAACATTTGCATCTGTATGGGCAAGCTCTCTTAGTGGGATAATAAGATCAGCAACCTACAACATGAAAGTAGATTGGAAACAATAATTGATTTCATATAGAAAAGACAAAAGGTTACTGGGCCAACGTCTGATGAGTTCAATGAAGATGTCGGAACCATAGAAACAGAAGTGTGATAAATGAAATCAAATGTTACAAAGCATAAGGCCATATGCCACCATGGCCATGCTAAGTGATATACCTCTCTATTGAAGTGCATCAGCCTCATTCACAATCCGAATTCTAGAAATGAATAACATAGAAAACAGTACCTTAAGTTTGCTCATTTCATTAAGAAAATGGGCATGTTTAAAGACAAGGGTATCAAGTGTTAAAGGAGCTTCCTCTGAGCCTTCCGGAACATCAGCAGCCATTGGCTGCGCTCCTGTACTATCAGGAATTGCATTTGACACCAAAACCGATGAGATCTTTGCAGAGTTTGGAGCCAGTGTTATGGGTTTGTCCTCAACTAATATAGCCAAAAGGAGATCAAGCCCTTGCTTTAGCCAAAAGACATCACTTAAAGCCTCCCAATCCTGAGTTTGAATAATATACTGCAGCCTAGTAAACAATGTTTTTCCAAGAGACTCGTGATAAAGAGAAAAAAACTTCCTCCTCATTTCAGGATCTTTTGCACGTAAGCCCAGTAAATAATGTCTCTCCACTTTCAGAAACACTTCTTGACGTAGAGAAAGAGGGTACCTGCATTGTAGCATCATTAGTACTTCATTACATATATACAAGTTTAAAGAAACTATTGATACCAGAAGTGTAATTACTTATTTGTGTCGGCACAAAGTCCATAAAGAAGCTCAAGATACTTCTGGTCCCATTCTTCTGCAGTGCTAAGAGAAAAGTTCTGCTTATCCACTTGTGAAAGCTTCTGGAGAAATGAAACCACTTCCTTCAAAGTGATAACAGTACTAGGTGCAACAGGTGTTCCAGGTTTACCAAAATCGTCTTCTACCCAACCCTTGATTAAATCAAGAATGCAAAGCAGCACAGAAGGATCAGTACCCTTTTCAGATAACAAGGAATTCAGAACTTGAATCACAGATCTTTTGCAATCAGGTATGATCATCACTCTTCCCGTGATAAGTTTCAACACTGATTTTAAATTGGCAATGACAACCCCAAAATCAGCAGCCTGACGAGAGGAAGTGACTGCAGAGTCTGGGTCTGATCTCTGGATCTGGATGGGCAAACAAGAAACCTTGGTGTATGAATAACAATGAATGCAGCCAAAATTTAAGGAAAGCATGAACGTGTAAGAAGGAGGAAGGCACCATTCATTCCTGAGCAGTAGGAGAATGGACCTATTCTCAGAATGCAGCTAGATGTTGGTATAAAAACTAAGAAAGCAAGCAAATTGCATGGAATGCCCTGATTGAAAGAGAAACGTACTTGTCTTGCAGTAGTGCTGCTAGATAATCCCATATCTCGTGCAAGGCGCTGGAGGACACGAACCAGATTAAATGGTTCAATGAGGTTTTTATGTACCTCCGCCAAAGATTTAATGACGTAAAGCACAAAACTAATCATGCTAGAAGAATTATCTTCTCCGGGTGCTTGAGGTCCTGCCACCACAGCAAGGTGTTTTTGTACTAGCTCCTCCACTTTCTGATACAACATCTTAACCTCTTGCGGCGTGTTCACTGCTTCAGGAGGAAATGCAGTAGAAACCATTTTCAACAGGGAGCATAATGAATTTCCAGCATCAAGCATTTTGAACTTGAAGCATGGTTCCAGAATCTGCAAAAGCATAATGAACATGAAATCATACATTGGATCTGAAGTCTTAGAAAGCTACTTACCAATCATGATTCTCTGGTACATACCTGGGATATCTGGGTGATATTATTTCTTACAAACAAATGTGGTTGCTTTTCCAAAACCTTATTCATTACATCTAAACCCTGGGATAGAGCAGTAGATGGGTCCTTCGATTGAGATGATGGAGTACTGCTTAGAAGCTTCTCCAAATAATTGAATTTGACATTAGCACTGGACCACACTTCCAAAGCTTGCGATAGAAGTTCCAGAGCTTGCTTGTACATGAGACTTGCCTCCTTATCTTTAGGTTCTATAACTAGGGCAACCTAAATAAGAAAACCATGGCACATTATACCCCACAGATGGAGTAATGGTTGAAATAGTTTCATGAATCACGGCTAATAATGGGAGATGAAAACATATAAATGTTCACAGAATCAAGAATAACCACACAACGATTGTCTGTTTCTTTTTGTTCTATGTTCTAAATGGAGCATTTTAAGGCTCAGAAATCTAATAAACAGACAATAAGACAGATTGTTCAAAAATAATAACACACTTCACAGCACGTAATTCAATTAAGGGAAAAGTTGCATGACACAATCCGAAGCAGACAAGCATTCAGGAGCCAAAAAAGATAAGACAACTGTAAACAAACATGAGTTAATTGGAAACTTTCCAGAAAATACTTTCGAGCAAAGGAGTTCTATATGACTCACATATATCCACAAGAATTTCCTGCTACATTGTCCACACTGAATTCTCTAGATAACAAATTAACAGTTTTTCAATGGCAGTTAGAGTTCCCTTGCTACAGAAGGCAATCCACCATCAAGGATATCACTCTTGGCACATTTCACTGTTTCAGAGAGTAGTATCTGTCTAACAAGCTACAAGCATCACCAATGCAAAAAGACCAACTACCACATTCATAGCTCACAGCCAAAAACTGATAATGATGGCTGGAATAACATTTAAAATAAAAGATGTCTATTCTGGCACAAAGGTAAGTCATGTTGATGCGAAATTGTTTATCCAATTGAATACATCTATAGAGCACAACTAAGTACACATGACTGTATCTAAAATGTGACATGAGACATACTCTTATAAGAAAATTAATGATCATTTCTTCCATAGCAGCATTAGGCTTGAACTCCTCATCAGGTGGTCCAGCAGATCCAGGAGTTTCAATGCTAGAAATTGAAGAGGCACCTCCAGGGGACATGACACACAAAGATTGCAAACCAGGTTCAACCTTCATTCTCTTTGTTGGATCATCAGAAAATGAAGATCCATCAACAGAAAGCTTAGGATCCACTCCAGCAGAAGTAAAATTTGATCCATCAGTACCCTGACAGGTACCATCACTATTTGCACCTTTTTTCAGGTCACTTTGCCTTTGTTTTTCCCAGTTAACAACCAATCCAGCAAGTTCAATAGCAAGGCGCCTATTTTCTGGTGTAGTGTTATACGGCAGCCCAAGGCGACTAAGAGAATTTACCATTTGAGGGACAAATTGTGCCCTACAGCTGTAAAATAGATCTGAATGCCGGACAATTAGCTGGAAAATATGAATAAGATTGGGGATGGAGTGACCTTCTTCGACTAAAATTTTCTTAGTGTAACGTATCCATATAGGCATCCGTGAATCACCAAGGGGCAATCTTCGTGGCAGTGCCGGCATGAGTATGTCAAGGGCTTGTTTCACCAACATTTTATTCTCTGGCTGGCAAGTCCTCAGGAGTGCAACAAACACCTGCAACTTCAGGTAGTTAACACAACGGCAAAATTGAAAAAATCCACCAGTAACATATTGCACAAAAGGTTAACCATAGTTCCAAACAAGCTTTTTCATTCAGACAAACAGTCATTCCTATATTAAGGCGTGGAGACGAGAAATACAAATCATCAAATGATTTGGTAATGATCTCCATATAGTCTAACCTGAATTGTTTCATTTAATATAGAAACAACATTTATGAAAATAATTACATATTTGGACAATATGAAAAATAAATGCGCAGATAAAATAACTGCAAAAGCATATAGATGTATTAGAAGAGTGGAAGCTGAAACTCATCATGAACAGTATTTTTGGATAGTTTTCTGTACATCATGAAGATTGTGTGCTCAAAATATTAATTACAATTGTCACTGAGCTAAAATGAACTGGAAAAAAAAAATGAAAGAATTCTCAATAACATCTGTTCGTTGAACCAATCTACTCAAATGTCTACGTTCCTGTTCTACAAATATGATTTTTTATTATTTCTTTACGATCACAAGGCACAGCCATAGACCCTGCAAAAACACTTACAGAAAATTATTGTTGATAAAATAGAGCAAGGACCTGTAATATAATTTTCTCTGGAGCTTGGTACGCCTCCAAAAAGTGGCAGACATTCACAAATGCCCACTGCTTACTAGCACTATCTTCACGCTTTAGATGATTCCAACCAAATTTAATAAGTTCCTTCCGATGATGAACAAGGTCATTCTGAAGATGTTTGAGAAGCAGAGTGGCAAGCTGCAGAAGCTCAATCCTCAGGGGCTCATCATAATCCGCAGATATCTAGGAATACGAAAGTAAAAATTGCTTTCAGACTTGAACAAAAGTAAATCATAATATCCTCCGGCCCCACTACATAAGAATATCACAAAAGAAACACCGAACTATCCAAAATTGTACTCCCTCTGTCCCCCAAAGATAGACCGCACTACTATTTTGGGTGTCTCACACAGATGGGCATGTTATTTTAATTTCAGCATTTATAATGTTGATTTCCATTATCCCCTCATTTAATCTATATTGCTACCAATACGATTGTCATGATATGTGATAATCATTAACTTAGATGGTCTATTTGCAAAGTAATTATACTTTTTACTTTCCCAAACAACAATGATTCTATCTTTTAAACTGTGTGAAAATTGCCGTAGCCCTAACTCTGTGTTGGACAAAAGAACTATTAAAGAAGTTTTTACAAGTAGAGAGTTAAATGAAGACATCTGCAAACAGTATCACAAAATTTCGTGAAGACAATAATCCCTTGCAACACTGCTGAAAGTAAAACTATGTTATTTAGCAGCTATAGGCAAGTCAAGACTGATCATCAGTTCAAAAAGAGCTACGCCCTGGCCTCGGCAGCCAGAAATTTAGGTAAAAACATATATTGAACCAAAAGTAATGAATGCAATATATATAATATTAATTCTAGGTGACCCAGCCACCAGTCAATGACACCTTAAGCATTAGGCAGACCGCAGGTCTGCAGCCCAATTAGGACCTGAAATTTACTGAAATTTCTGCAAGCTTGCTTGAATCGTGATCTTAAGGCTACTATAATCCATCACTAAACCACCTCGACCTCGACAAAGTGCTTTTACATTCTATTCCAGTGAACCACATATCCCTTACTCTGATGTATAGGCTTCCGGCTTCCATATAAAAACCATCCTCGATGCTGCTGAAACTCCTCACATAGTACAATTCCCTCAAAAACTATTAGCCAAAGGACCCCTCATATAAACGTGAAACATTAATAGACATCAAGCCAAATATGAATGAGTGTGCGCGCACAATAGTGAAATAGTACACACACAACGTGATAGGAGTAAAGAATAAAGAGTGAAATATGATATTCTATTAATTATAAATAATAACCAGCAGCTTAAAGCTTCATAGCAGAACCGTTCTTTATGCGCAGCAAGAACTAATCTTGCCCAATAGCCAAAGCTATAACCATATGATTCTAATTGCCTACCTTACCTCAACTTGAGACCACCCTATATTTATACTAAACTGACATATTTATAAAAGATAATAATAATAATAATAGAAGCAAGAAAATAAAGATCTTCAGAAGAATCGATCCAGATAACCACATCATCCCAAATCTATAGATTTATTCTTCTTTCCTTAGTTGTTTAATTATTCTTTATTCTCCAATATTACTCTCCACAATTTCTCCCTATTTCACGCGATCTTTATCAGAACAAGATCCTCAAAAAACAGGCAATGAGAGTGCACTAGAAAGGACAGGTAGAATAGGGTCTGTATGTTTGGAAACCCATAAGCATAACCAATAAAACCATTTCTGTCAGCACCAGTCAGCAAAATTATTACGAAACACACAAATATATGAATGCCAAACGATCATCATATATACAAAATAAAGCATACCTCTTCCGGGGGATCAAGTAATTTGTCAACTATAGTCTTGATTGTGGCTGCATCAATGACTTCCCAAGTTTGACCATTTTGCAAAGCATGAGCTAACATCGGAAGAATGAGCATTTGCATTACAATAACCATATGCTCATGGCTTAATTGTTTCAATTGAAAAAGGTTCAGAAAATGAAGCAACAGTGTTTTCTTCAAGTTGGGTGGATAACCCTCAGCAACCTATACAACATAGTAACATTTGCACTATCAGGCACTAAACAGACCAGAATAATTAGAAACAGCTAAATGATTCTACTAAGAGTAGTCCACACTATATACAACATTCATATACCTCAATGATGTAGAACTCCTTTAAGAAAGTAAAGTCTATGCGAGTCCGGTACAGGAATATGGCGAGAATATCAAACAATACATTAACCTCCATTTTGTCATGACGCAAGTAGTTCAGGAAACACTTTACTAACCACTTGCTTTCTTTTACCTGCACATATTTATTACGATTTCAGTAATCAGAAAGCTAACGCACAGAATCATGAAGGCCAAAACAGTAGCTAATTTCATTAAGAACTTATGGCACCACATGACTACAACCAGAATTCCTGGAAATGATTTCATTCGTCTGATTGCATCACAAAAACATGGAGTAAAATGTGCTATCAGACTGAAAAGAATTTCAATGTTTTTTTCAAAATTCAAATAATTCTGAAGGGGATTGGAAGGAAAGGATAGGTTTGAACCCTTGACATAGTTTAGACCAAGTACACCCTCGCCCAATGAACAATTAAACCAGCATTTACACGCTTACTTTAACTCCAAAATCTCATGGTCTTTAAGAAAAGACTTAATACCAAACTACCTAAACATACACTGAAACAGGTTATGGACCATACAAAATCACCACAAAGGTAATCCAACTAAGGCTAATTATATTAACCTTTTAATAAATACCCCCTCCATCCCACAATGATAGGCTCATTAATTTTTCAACAGTTAAATAAAATAAGTCATTGTTATTGGGAAAGTAAAACTTAGGAAATTTCCCATTTATTATTATGGTTTTAATTAGTTCATAGACTTATGAATTAAACAAGGGTAGGAAAGAAACTTAATGCTTTAATTACTCTAACTAAAAAGCAAGTCTACCACTGCAGGATACCCGAAATTGCATAGTAGACTATTTTTTTAGGATGGAGGCAGTATGAAAAATGAGCACTTAGATATATAGAAGTGCAATGTGTAACATATACAAATTAGTGCAAACGATGCATTATACATATTCCAGATAATACTGATAGCTGG